TCTCACACAGAAAACCCTTTTTTCTTTAAGCCAGAGGAACGGCTTGCCACTGAGATACTGCTGGTTGGCAAAGTTTACCATCAATTTCAATGCAACAACTCTGTAGCAAAATTGATTTCAGACTAGGAAATCAATTCTTGATTTAAAGAGATGATTAAACTCATCCTAAGGACAAAAACACACCTGGGCAAGGTTGGAAGTACTTCATTTTCCAGAGCTTCACAAGGCCAATGACTGCAGGAGGCAACAAGAGAATATCTTGACAGCAGTTCTGGCTCTCCATTCCTTATTTCAACAAATCTAATACTACAGCAGAAGGCTACCACACAAATTCCTAAGTAAAGCCCTATAAAGAGAGGCTAAAAGTAGAAAGAACAGAAACATTCACAAATTTTCCACACCAATTCCACTCCAGATGCAAACAGCATAGGAGCCTGAAGCTAAGCTGGCATTTCCTGAGAAGTTTTTGTATTTGAAGTATGTAATACAGTAGTTAGTGCTTTCTTGGTTACAAGGAATACTTATAGTCAATTAGAGATAGAGAGCAGGGTAGAGCATTGCTGTGAAGCTAAAATACCGCCTGCTGCCTTCCTTTGGCAAGGTACAACAATAGCTCAACCAGTTCACAGCCTCACAGTTGCTGGCAGGCGAAAGGAACACACTGGGAAGCCTGCAGCCATGCCCTGAGCACACCAATTCAGTGCAGCAACACAGCAGCTAACCAGAAATGAGGTGTTCCCAAAGCTCACTGCCTCCGAAGACATACGGAATAGTCAGAAGTCAAACTTGACCTCCTTTGCTTTACGTTCCAGCTCCAAAGTGACTGTTTCTCCTATCATTCTCTTCTCTGCTCACACCAGCTCCTCCCAGGACTCCCAGCCAGTCACTGGTAACACAAACACATGTGTAACACTCTCCAGTGGCCCACTGAAATTAATTTAGGCTTCTCTGAAGGAGATCCACAATGCTCAGAGACAGACACTGATTTTACTATCGACACTACACCACAGGATTGCTTTGCAGCCACACTAATGAATTAAGCCAACATCTGGAGTAAAAATGCAACACCTTCCTTCTGAGAATTACAGCCCAGTCCTAAAAATTGAAGATTAATCCAATTCCCCTTATTCTGCTGAGACCAAGTGAGAAGATATGCTGGGGGAAAAGGTAGCTTTCAGAAGGTAAAAATGTGCTCCAGCAGCTGGCTCACATCACATGCTCCAGTAACTTTTTTTCCAGCTATTTCCCTTCCTTCTGGTTCTTCTGCATGCAAATCATAACACACTTCTTGAACAAATTGAACTCAATGGGACAAGACTAGGGTGTACAGACAGATGGGCAAGTATTGCATCTCAATAGATAGGTGAAGCCCAAAGGCATCTACACACAAGAAAAAAACAAAGAAATTGTAAAAATACCCCCTGATCTAGAGGCACCTTTGACTGGACATCATTAGCTAACTCTTCACCTGTTGCTCCTTTTAGGCAGCACTTCCTTTTGACTCAGCTTGCAGTTTGAGTCCTTCTATGAGGATCTAAACAGATGTAGCACAGCACGAGTGCTAGAGGGTCACTTGTCACATGGGAGTTGGATGAGGTAGTATTAGTTTTCTCACCTGAAGTCCAATTCCTCACTCGTGAGACCCTTCTCAGCCAAAAAGGAAAACCAGAACATGACCTAGTCTTTTCTCCATCCTCTTAAGCAATTACTGTGACTAGGAATTGGAAAATTAAAAGCTACTGTGTCATTCACTTTCTCCTGACACCTGGCAATGATGCACTGTGTCAGTGCAGTTCAGAACCATGCTGCACCTGAAGCACAAACATGCAGTGACTGCTGTGCCTCAAACTCTTCACGGCTTTGAGAACAAAAATCTGGGATTCATACCCTGAAAAATGAACCCAAAACTTAAACTGCTGCAGGGAAGTTGGCATTACAGAATCGTTAGTGCTTTTAATCAATAAAAAGCTCAAGGGAAAAGAACAGAAGTACAGATATTGCTAGTCCTGCCATATCCTTAAGAACCATCATTCCTTTACAGGAACATCCCATAGCGAGAGGTTTTGACACTCCTGTTAACATTCTTATACTCCCTCAAGGAAAGGGCCTAAGATCCAACGCTGGACATTTGACTTACCTTCATCCAAACTACCTTTCAGACAGCTCCCTCTCACAGGTCTGCTCACACACTGGAAACAGACACAGTTCTGCAGGCAAGGAACACGCAGGACAGCATTTGTGGAAAGGGATCAATCTTGCCAGCAATTCCAAGGGAACATCACCACAAATTGCAGTGTTAGTGATTTCTATCTAGGAAACAACGTAAAAGCCTGTGCCTTATCTCACCTGATGCTATTACAGTGGTTAGAGAAACACTCACCTACTTCAGTGACTTCCCAACAGAAACAATTAAGGGAAAGACCAATATAATGCAACAGACAACAACGTGGTCTGGCTTCTTAAATTTCAGGTTTAGCCAAAGCTGGTGACTGCACCACTTCATGGCACTAAAAGTGTGGTCAAGTTGCAGATGACTGTTTCAGTACACAACTGCAACGTAATGCAAGAACTCACAGCCCTGAAAGACAATCCAGCCCTTATCTCTTGCAGCCAACCTACCTTCCCCCAGAAAACTTCTAAAAAATCAGGGTACTAGGAGTTAACTTACACATAGAAACCAGTCCAGACAAGCCATTTTGATTTCTGGAAGTACTTACTTACAAAGTGCATTTAGCCACCGATTTCTTGGCCCATGAAGAGTATAAACAAGCACAAATATGGGCTCACTGAAGGCAGACAACAACTTAATGTCCTTCTGAATACTAATTCCCAGCTGGGGAAAGGACATAGAAGAAGAGATTTAAACTGAAAAGCCTAGGTCCAGAAGAGCTTTGCAAAACACTGTTCAAATTACAAAATCTTCCTAGCCATTAGGCCAGCAGTTTGAAATCATTCAATACCTTTACGAGTCAAAATTTCCCCTTGCACACCTGGTACAGCAGTAGCGAAGTAACAGGATGCCCCGCAGCCAGTTGTAACAGGTAGGGGAATAAGTGTTTCACCTAAATCACAATTTATCAGCAAAGAGGATACAGAAGCAGCCTGGGAACTCATCAAGCCTGCACTTCCATAGAGGAACGAGAACAACCATAGCCCTCTTAGTTCTGGCTAACCAACTATTTTCAGCACCAGAAAGGGAGGCAAACACCACCAATGGGTCTATTCCCTCTGATAAAGAGGATCTGAACACAACCACCGTCCTGCAGATCCTTTGCCACCAAAACCACAAATCAGGTGAAGAGCTTTAAGTTGTTACAGCTCCTGAATACAAGGCATCCCTCCACAGATACGCACGAGAGGTTGGAAGAGGGCAATGCAGCCCATTTAATTCAATTCACTTCCTCTTCCATCTGCTCTAGACAGCCATGCCCCATTAGTCTCCTGAGAAGAAGAGGAAAAATGCCAGGAGCCTACGTACATCCAGTGTACATCAGATGCACTGTTCAGAGCCACTACAGGCTCGCCAGTTCTGAGCTGTACACCAGCACCAGAGAACTCCTTGTCTCTGTATAATTCTACCCAGCTTTTATTTATCTTTAAAGATAATTTTAACAATTAAACACAAGCTCCCTGCCAGAGACATTTCCCAACTGCTTCTGCATTTAGTACTAGAGCCAAGAGACAGACTAAACTCAACTGGCACCTGCTTTGACCATTCCTCTCTTAGGAAGCTGCAGTAAGCCTTTGCTTCTAAAACCAGATGTAGATATGGGAGACAGCAAACAGCATCATCACCAGGAGCCAGAGCCACTGCATGCACGCTGCAGCCCTATGAGCAGGTATCAGCAAGTCACAGACCGAACTGCCAAGGAACAAAGTCACCCACTGCTACAGAATGAACACACATGGGGCTAAACCCAGTGAACTGCCTGGCCACAGCTACAAAACAGAGCCCTGCCATTACACTGGATAAATAGGAAGAGCTTAGAAGCAGCTCTGGAGGTTGCAGTGTGGAAGGGCAGCCACTTGATACAGCAGATTGGGACTTCTCAGCTCCTGCACCACTGCTTGCTTTCTTCCACCCGCCCTGCAGAAAGGTGGCAACGATCACACATGCACTTTTGTTCAAAATGACTAAGCATCATCTTTTTCCTTCTTACCAGCTAGTCTCCTTTTCCAGCACAGTAACAACATACAGACTTGCCTGCATGCTGCCCAAAAAACTGTATAAAGGTGGAAAATCACACTCGAGCCGCTGAAGCAGGCCTAACATCACCACTGGTCCACAGCATACTGATTTAGCAGCTATTTGTCCAATAAAACAGGAGTGCCGTATATTTTACAGTACCTATGTGATTCAGTACAACTGAAACACAACTCATCAGAGCACGGTTTTCATCCTCAGCAGAGGCAATCTGAGCTCCAAGGATCATTTCCCAGGGATGCTGAATAGCTTGGCAGCCTAACAGTTAACTCATTCAACCGAAACCATCCATCTGAAGAGCAGCTGCTCGGTCTGGCGGCTTCCTAGCTGAGAGCCCACATCCTACAGCCATTAAACACCACTCTTTTGCACCCATCATTAATGAACATAGCAAGGCAGATCAGCCTTGAAGACTGCACAACAGGCAAGCATCATATTCTGAGTAAAGCCTGCTCAGTGCAGGCTAGGCTTGCACAGACCTACCTCCTGTGGGCCCTGGGGTGCCAGCAAGGTGCTGTGCCCAGCCAGCCCATACAGGGCACCACCAGCACCCACCTGCTCCTGTTGGGATAGCTCAGACCTTCTCTCATCATCAGGCTGGAGGGAGCTGGGCACACACAGAGGTTTCTCCTAAGGACACCAACAACAAATTAAAAGCAACAGCACTGGTATGTCAGAGCTGCCTGTCGCAGCAGGCGAGTCATTTTTGCTACCCGGAGTCCTTCCAGCTCTACATTCACCCCCATCCTCCCCCCCCAAGCCCATCGCCAAAGAGAATATGCTGTGTTACAGAGACTTTCATCTTGGGAAAATATTTTAATGTAGTAAACAAGTCAATTTACCTCTTTCACATCTGTTTAAATAAGTTTATGCTCATCGGCTAAACAAAACTCGGTACTTAAACAACGGGTTACAGCCTCTACATCCACACTGTCCCCGGCCGGTCCTGCCAACAGCCTCAGCTTTGGGGCCCCACCAACATCCTCCCGGTGACAGCCGGGCACCAGCAGCTCGCGAGTCCAACGCGGGGTCGGAGGGAGAAGCTAGCCCAGAAGGAAGCCACCAACACCCCCCTTCGGAGGACGAATTTTGGGGAGGAGGAGGGTTAAATAAGGATGTCCCGCAGCCACCGTCCTCCAGCGGTCAGCCTCCAGCGCCCTCACCGCGGGGGCTCCTCAGGGGGGGGCGCCGCCTCCGTGCGACCCCGGCCGCAACGGGGGGCCCTTGGAAGGAGGCGGCGAGGGGGAGGCAGAAGAAGAAGATGAAGAAGCCGGGGATGGAGGAGGCTCCTTCGGGCCTCCCCCCGCCTGGGCGAGGCCGTTCCGAGCCGCTGCCTCCTGCGTGGTGGCGAGAGGCCGCGGGGAGCTGGAGCCGGGCGCTGGGGAAACGTGGGGCTGCGAGGAGGAGTTGGCGACCGTGCCGGGGCCGCCGCGCACCGGCTGCCAGATGAGGCTGTAGTAGACGGCGAGGACGATGGCGGCCAGCGAGACGGACAGCACGTAGGCCAGCACGGTGGCCAGGCGCACCCACTTCTTGTTGGTCTTGGCCGCCATGCGCGCCTTCTTGTCCCCGGTGTAGGTGGCGGGCTTGCCCCGCTCCGCCCCGGCCTCCTTCTCCTTCATGGGGGCCCGGCCCTTGGCCCGCTGCTCCACCGACCCCTCCGTGGTGGGGGCTCCAAGCCGCCGACCGCCGCCGCCGCCGCCAACTCCTCCTCCTCCTTCTCTTCTTCCTCCCCTCAGGACATGGCGCTGCTGCTGCCGCCGCCCCGTGCCCGCGCTGCTCCGCCGGCTCCGGCAGCCGCCGCGGGGCGGCCCTAAAAGCGGCGGCACCGCCCGCAGGAAGGGGAGGAGGGAGCGGGGCTCTGGGGGGCTGAGCTTAAAGGGGTGATGGCCGCCGCCGCCGCCTCCTCACGGCCCTGCTGAGCCCCCTCAGGGGGGGCCTCGGGGCTGGGGGAGCGCGGGGGTGTTGTGGGGAAACAGCGTTATAGGGTGTGTGCTGCCCTCCCCAGGCGGTGCTGTGATGGTGTTAAATGTAGACTCATTAAGGCTGGAAAAGCCCTTCAAGACCATCTGGTACAACCACACCCCTTCCACCACTTTCCCCACTGATCCATGTCCCCAAGCACCACATCCAACCTTTCCTTGAACACCCCCAGGGATGGTGACTCCACCACCTCCCTGGGCAACCCGTCCCAGTGCCTGACTGCTCTTTCTGAGCAGAAATGTCTCCTCATTTCCAGCCTGAACCTCCCCTGGCGCAACTTAAAGCCATTCCCTCTAGCCCTATCACTAGCTATCTGCAAAAAGAGGCTGACCCCAGCTCCCCACAGCTTCCTTTCAGGCAGTTACAGAGAGCGATAAGGTCTCCCCTGAGCCTTCTCTTCTCCAGACCAAACACCCCCAGTTCCCTCAGTTGCTTCTCACAGCACTTGTGTTCCAGGCCCTTCACCAGCTTCGTCGCCCTTCTCTGGACACACTCGAGCACCTCAATGTCCTTCTTGTAGTGAGGGACCCAAAGCTGAACACAGTACAGGGGGACGATTACCTCCCTGCCCCTGCTGGCTGCACTATTCCTGATACAAGTCCGCAGTTTTTGGAGAGGCAGTTTTAGTGCCATTCTGGTTGGGCTAACACCAAACTTGCTGGAATAATCCAAAGTGGAGTTACAGCTGCTGAGATTTGGGTTGGCCTTACTCTCTGCGTGTTATTTCCCCACAAAAACATTTTATCAGCTTATTCTGAAGGCAGCTGAAATGCTGTTCCTGGGTATGGATTAGCTTTTTTTTTTTCCATCTTTTTCCCTTTATGGTGCAAGATGTTTATTTCTCAAAGGATTACGTTGTGCTTTTTATAATCATTGTCTTTTCTTCCCTCCCATCACTCTTGGGGCAGCCAGGTGTGTTGCACCTAAAACCCTTTTGTCTGCAACAAGGAGTTGCAGTTGCAAAAGAGGCCCATGGCAGCTGAAGAGAAGACCATCACCCAGAAAAACCTCAGAGAAAGGGGATGAGTGAGTTTGGAATTTACCCTAGCATCCTGCGTTTTCCTTTAATAACGGGATAAAACCTGGAGGGCTGGGAGAGAAGGGAACCCCCCCCAGCTTTTTGCAGGAAGAAGCAAGGAACTTGCAGCTCTGAGGAAGACTACTGGGGATAGGGATTAAGATGGAGTAATTTCAAAGCAATTATAGTTCTTGGCAAAATGTGGATTGCATTAACTAAAAGCTCTAGGGCTATTGCATGCATGCGTAAGGGTGGCATCGTAGTGACAATCTGTACCTGCTGACTCCCAGCGCTTTCCTCATTAACCTGGTTATGGGTCCTCATAACCATAAGGTGGGCATGGCAGTGTCCAGCAGCAACAGGAGCCTTCAGAAAGGGGCTACAAAACACCTCGGTAAGTGGCACTGGATGGCTCTGGCTGATCGTTCCTAGAAGGGTGAAGGAATCTGGGGCTCTAAACAGTCCAGTCAAGGTGAGCTGATCTTGGATAACAGTGCAGCCGCCTGGCTGCAGTATACATTTTTATCTCCTTGAGCTGATCTGCTTTTGGGGAGGGAGAGCAGCTATGCAGTCATAGGATGTTCTGTATACACACCCTGCTCCTGTGTGGAGGGAAGAGCTAAAGGGTGTGATGTTGCTAGCTGCTTTTGGAGACCCTGACAGTTTTTGTATGCTGCTTGTCTAGTCCATGTTGTTATCTTGCATTTTAAATCTGTCCTTGGAAATCTTACGTCATCCCATATTACTTAACTTTAAACCTGTTGTAATGTCTAGAAGTTGGCAGACAAAATTCAGAGTTGGTGTTGCTAGTTATTCGGATGTATAGTATGTTGACTTTGTTGTTTGTTTGTGTTTTTTTGTTTGTTTGTTTTTGTTTTCAAAAAAAGATGTTTAAACAACTCAGTAGGTTGATACAGGAAACATAGGGACTGAATGTAACAATGAGCTGATACTAATGTAACAATGAGCTTGTACTAATGAGTGGTTACAGCTGCATGCTTTAGTCCTATATCCCCACAATCAGATTCCCCTCTCCTGGGAAGGAAACAAAGTTTTAATCTGTGCAAATATTTGTGGCTTTTTCACTGGTGTTTTTTTTTCCCCCCCCTTTTTTTTTTTTTTTTTCTCCTCTGCTCATTGAAAGTCAGTTTCTAAATCTAACAATTAATTAATAGGTGCTCCTTTTCCATTAATGGAGATCTTGACAGGCTAGATTTGCTAAGGATGTGCTGTGGAGTTGTAGAAGCAGTCCCAGCAAAGGTGCTGTGTAGTGTGATTGGGATCCAACTATACCACGTACCTCTTGAATGTAGATTCTAGGAGCAGCTAAAGCTGCTTCAGCTAGAAGCTGTGGCAATAGACAGCTCAGCGTGTTATTCTTTCCTGCCTTCCCCCTCTTTTGCTCCTCTTCCTTCACTCTTCAGGACTATAGATATGCAGTTTTAAAACTGAACTGTGTTGCTCTTGAGATCATACCTTGAACCTGGTGTCTTCATCTCCCCGCTACATTTATTCACTGCTTATTCAGGGCATGGTGTGCCTTTGGGTCACAGTGAAGACTTAGCCTTCATAATTTCAGCAGCGTCAAAGAAAATCAGTGTTCTTAAGGCACTCTCCTCTCTGCCAAGCCCTCTGCTCTGAATAAGACAAGAGGTGTGTTGGTAAAGTACTAATCCTTGTTGGCTTTTGCTGTAATCAGGGGGCGAGCCTTTCTTTTTGCTGTGAAGAAATGGGTGTGAGTTTCTCTCCAGGTCTTTTTGTTCAAGTACAGGCAGCTGCCAGAAGGCATGTGCCTTCTGTTCCTAAACTTAGCTCCTTGCTAACAACCGCTTTAAAGGCAAACTGAGAGCCAGGAAGCCAGGGCTGCAATAAAGATATTTTCTTTGTCCTCTGGGTTTCAGCAAAAATGCCAAACTGTGCATCAAACAGCCTCCTGTGGTGCAGAAATAGAGCTCTGGGGGCAGAGCACAGAGAGGTCTTGTGAAGTCAATGAATGCATCAGACTAGATGAAACTTGCAAATTAGTCCTCTCTGAGATTTTGCCTTGAGAACACGAGAGGGGTCGCTTGCCTGAGAGGAATGAAGGGTGTGTGGTGCACCCTGCGACTGGACCTGCCAGCAGAGGAGAGCTGTGTAGCCCTTGGACATCCAGCCTTTCTCCCAAGCTCTGTTTCAGACACTGTACCTTTGGGGTCTGATTGTGTAAAAGCTCCTCTAATTTTCTACTTATCATGTCTGAGGGTCCTCTGGGAGACTCATCTTCTTATGAGCCTGCTACTTACTGCCCTACGCTTGTGTTTAGTTGAAAACCTCAGTGACAAAACATATTATTGAAGATTAGGTGCTCCACCCACCTGACTGATCAGCAGTGCTTGAGTTCCTGCAGCTACCTGTTGCAATGGGATGCGTGTGTGTTCTACAAGGGCCCCGGAAGGATGTAGCTAAATAAACTTGTACTATTGATTTTCCACGTTCAGAGTCAGTGGATAGCATCTAGTGCTTCAGGACAGAGAAGACTTAATTACGGGAAGATCATTGGCCTAAGAAATTACCTCTGTGCAGACCTTGTTTCTGAGAGCAGTGGAGCACTGGAGTGGATTGCCTGGGAGGTTGTTGAGCCTCCCCTGCTAATGGAGGCCTCCTGAAGCTCTCTGAGTCAATGCCTGTCAGTGCTGATAAGTCACAGCTGATCCTGCCCTGGGACAAGGGATGGGCTGCAGGGCTTCCTACGGTCCCATTGTCCCTGTGCTTTTGGTTTAATGAAGAAGCTGCTCTGCCTTCCCTTCCTGTGCTCGATCCTTAGGAGGCAGTTGGATGTGACACCCTACAAACAATCAGCTTGCTCTGGGAGGTGTGCCTCTTGGTCGTTGCACTTATGCTAGCTTGTATAACGCAAAATAAAATCATAATTCAGTACCATGACACTGTCCAATCCCTCTTCTGAACTCTAGCCCTGGTTTTTGTTCTGGGTGCCTGCCTCCAGCAAGGTGATTTCTGCAGGTAGATTACAGACTTCATTGGTTGTAAGGACGTATGTAACATGTAACACTGTTGTTATACAGTGTTCTTGGTCCCATTTGTGAGTTGAGAAGGAGAGAGATGGATGAAGCCTGCGACTGTTTAAAGCACAGAATAGATATTTTTAAATCCACCTCTTTCTTGGCTGAAGTTCTTGAGCAAATGCTTTGCTAGGCTTGAGCCTTCTGTCATGCTGAATGTCTCTGCCCTTGGTAGGGGGCAGTCTTTCGAGCTCAGCTCTCCACTCTTCTAAAGGAAATAAGATTTTACACTGATTTTACACTGTTGTTCCCATCTCGTTTGAAGCCTGCAGGGAATCTGATTCCGTTCCTCTCTGACATTTTTCCTACCACACTTCAAAATCTTCTCTGTCTTATGTAGGAAGGTGCTACTTCTCTCTCTTGTTAATCCGGTAACAGACTGGGGGGAGGCTGGGGATGTTCATTTAATTCCTTCACCTTCTGATTTAGCTGTAGTAAGCTTGCACAACCCACTGTCTTGCGCTGTCTTGGAAAGCAGAGGTTATGAGATGGGTGGGAACGATAGTAAAAGTGATGCTGGATTTGAGATATAGCAGCGAGATCTGGTTTTGCTCAGGGTAGGGGCCCTGGGCAAAAAGCTCCTGGTAGCTCAGGGCAGTGATGCACCAACAGTTCAACCTTGTGTCATCAATTTGGTGAGCTTTTTTATTCTGTCATCTACATAGCATAAAGACTATGTCCTACTTGTAGAAGAGCTTTGGACAGTGAGCATTCTGCGGGAAAACACACTAGATTTATGGAAAAAAGTATGTCTGAAAAGGATTCATTG